AACAACAACAACAACAACAACAACAATGAATGCTTAGGCAGGATTCACATTGCTGTCATTCTCCTCTAATTAAAGAAAACCACAGTTAGCGGTTCCTTACACTATACTTCAAATTTTTATTTCATACCTCTCTTGTCAATATTACTAGACGATTTTAACAATGGTTGATTATCTGTCTCCCTTAGTCATGAACTCAACCTAGTTATTTTTTATGAATATAAACAACTGTGAGCTAGAACTTATCAATTCTTGGAAGACATATTGTGCATAAAGTTTATATAATGTCACTATCTTAAGTTTATTTGTTGTTTTTGTGTACTATAGAGTGGGAACTGACCCATAGCTGACCCTCCAGTGGGTTTTCAATGTCAATTAATCACACAGGAGGAGTATGCCCATCCTATAGAGCAGCTGGTGGCTTCAAATCATGTACCTTAGGGATTGCAGTGCAGCTTCTTACCACTAGGCCACCTGAGCTCCCTAAGTGTAATTATGTGATTATAATATATGCAATCTGAAATTAAAATGCATCTTATCAACCATGTTTCAGCTCCCTATGTATTCTCGGGCTCAAATGTATCTAATCTTTGTATCAATCCGTTTTGTATAGTGCTCTGAAGTTCACCTTACTTAAATACTTCTTTCAACAGTACTTCTTCACTTTGTTGTTGTTAGGTGCTGTTGAGTTGAATATGACTCAGAGTGATGCTAGAAACAAGAGATCTGAACTCTGTCTTATCCCGCACTTTCCTCACAATTTCTAACACACTCAAGTCCATTGGTTCAGTGACTGTGTCAATCCATCTGGTTGAGTGTCTTTCTCTCATTTGCCATCCTTCCACCTTTCCAAGTATGATGTGCCTGTCCGAGCAATAGCATCTCCTAGCAATATGCCCAAAGCATGTGAAATGACGGTTTATCATACATTCGTTTAGTAAAAGAATAATATATGCTCTAATTATTTAAAGCGCTCTGATGGTAGAGTCTGCAGGGAGTTGCACTGCTAACCTCTCTGGCCATTTGAACTCACCAGAAGTTTTGTAAAACAAGATGAATAATGTCCTGTTCAGGGTACAGCCTCAGTAACCTAATTAAGGGGTCAGCTGGGAATCTGTTCCAAACAGGAGGCTAGATTCTATGAAAAGAAATGTGGTATCAGGATTGAAGGAAGACTCGTCAACAATCTGTGTTATACAGATGACACAACCCTGCTTGCTGGAACTGAGGAGGACCTAAAGCGCTCGCTGCAGAAGCTCGAGGACTGCAGCCTTCAATATGGATTGAAGCTCAACATCAAGAAAACAAAGATTCTCACGGCTGGAAAGATTGGCAGCATCATAATAGATGGTGAAGGGATTGAAATTATTGACAGCTTCAGTTTGCTTGGCTTTACAATCAACACTCTGGGTACCACAAGCCAGGAAATGAAAAGATGAATTGCATTGGGAAAATTTGCTGTCAGAGACCTCTCCAAAGTACTAATGAGTAATAATGTCAGTCTGGAGACTAAGGTGTGTCTGATATAGGCCATGGTCTTTGCGATACAGGCCATGGTCTTTGCTGGCAATGACTAGATGATGGAAGGAGAATTGATGCCTTTGAACTGTGGTGCTTGAGAATAGTATTGAATATACCATGGACTGCTGGGTGAACAAACAAGTTCAACCTGGAGAGGGTGGAGCCAGGCTTCTTCTTGGAGGCAAGGATTCTGAAACTCCGTGTGACATACTTTGGACATGTTGCAAGGCAGGATTAGTCTTTGGAGAGGGACATCATGCTTGCAAGAGTGGAGGGACAGACAGAACAGGAGAGGAAGTCCCTCTATGAGATGGATTGATTGAGTGACTGGAATAATGGGGGTAGGTGTGTTGGAGACAGTTAGATTGGCACAAGATAGAGCAGGGTTTAGGGTTGTTGTACATAGAGTTACATAAGTTGCAGGTGACTCGATGGTACATAACAACAGCAAAAACAACAGCATTTTTTATATTTAAATTTTATTTATGTAGCTTTCATAATCTAGCTCAAGGTGGCTCTAATCTACCTACTGAACCCACTCCTCTCCATCACCTTCCTAGCTTAGGTCCTTTGTGCCTCATGACTGAATTGTTTCAAGTCGTTGTACTTAATGTACTTGTTTTGGTCCTTCACAGATACCACTGATATATTAATTTTCCTAAAGAACAGATTCAAGCAGGTCACTCTACTGGTCTTTGGACACTTTTCATTCTTTAGTGGATTAACTGCAAACCCATTTTGCCATTCCACATTTCTTGGACTTTGTGTTCAAGTAACATTTCTCATTATGTTACAGAAGTTGCTAACATTTTGAGGGGAGAAGGGATTATTGATCCCTTTGGAAATGCAATGAAAATTATATTCACTTATCTCCTCCTCAATACAAAAATTTTATACATGATAAAGATTTCTTGGATTATTGTGCTTTATAATCTAAGCAAATAGCACTTATATTTATAACAGTCATTACCGTAACTCTTACTGTCAAAATATCTTGCATGTCCAGCAGTCTATATAATAATATACTATTTTCTCTACAAAAGTAACTTAATCATTTCTCCTTGAAATCTAAACCACATTCCTTTGTATTACTATATTATTCTGACTTTAGGAGTTGTATTACTTCCCTGTTGGGATTAAAAACCTCTATGAATTGTGGTTACTTATTGTTGATATATACCTCTGCAGGATCCTTTAAGGTTAAACATATACAAATAAATAATAACAGTTAATAAATGTTTCTTGTCATTTTGAGGACTGGTGCATTGAAATATTCCACTAAGCACTAATGTAAACATAGTCTGTAAATTGATTTCAACACACAATTTGTTGCACACAGGCTTGTAGGTAAAAACCTTTTGAGCTAAATGTATTTAAGAATTCAGAACTGTTTGGATTTTAGAAAGATGACCTAGAGCAACACATTAATATTTCTGAAGCAAAATGTACACATATTCACATGGCCTATCGAATTTCCTCATGTGAGCTCAAGTCAGTGTTTGTGGTCAAATGAATTCAGGTCATGTTAGGTATTACTAACAAATGATTCATGATAAGACTTCTGTTTGCAGAGATTTGGGGGGATATTGAGACTGTGAGCAAAGAACTGTGGGCCTGTGTCAGGCTGGATTTCTTAATCCATGGTGTGGACTGACCTCCAGCTTTTCTCCTCAATTTTTCTGCCACACGTGTCATTCTTTTTTGGTCTCTGTCAATTCCTTCAGGTGTCTGAAGATTAAAAATAGTGCATTCTAGCTATCAGGTAGCACTAGGAGAGCAGAGGCTGGCTGAAACCAGGCACAACCAATATGGAGCTAAGTCATGCACCAGGTTGGTAAGCTTCTTTTACCCAAAAAAGATTATTTCTTGCTTTTTAATAAACTTTATTATCTTCATTGCTATTAATATTTGTAATACAGAGAGCTAGCCTAATATTTTGAAAGGACTCAACACATTCCATGGCAAGGATATACTGTTATTTTTATGTGCTGTCAAGTCTCCTGCCACTCATAGTGACCCTATGTACAATAGCTCTGAAGCCTGCCCTATCCTAAGCCAAGTCTCATGGACTCTGACAAACCTACCCCCACTGTCTTAGTTACTGTATCAGTCCGTCTCATCTGGGGTCTTCCTCTCCTGTGCTGTCCTTTTGGACATGATGCCCTTCTCCAAGGATTAATCTCTCTCGGCCACATGCCCAAAGTACAAGAGACAGAGCTTCAGAATCCTAGCTTCCAAGGAGAAACTTGGTTTTACCCTTTCCAAGACAGACCTAATTTATTTTCTTGGTTGTCTATGGTATGTTCAAGACTCTTCTCCAGCTAAAAACAATTCATCTATTTGCTACTAAGAAATTAAGAAATTGTAAGGATATGCTATAATTTATTAATTTCTTACTAGCAAATATGTGGATTGTTTTTAGTTTCTCACATTTTTCTAGAATTCTTCCCACAAATCTCTAGAGGTTTTCTAAAGCCCAGGCATAGAATTGTTGGGTCAAAGTAATGTACACTTTTAACAGAAAAGACCAAAACCATAGTGGGTGAATTGACACTGACTCATAGACAACTTCACAGTATAGAGTTCAACTGTCCTCATATGGTGGCCAAGGCTGTAAATCTACATGGAAACAAACTACCAAAGCCTTCTCTCAGGCATCAAGTGCCTGGTGGGTTTGAACTACTGACCCTGGTTAACCATCAAGAATGTTAACCATTGTGACCCCAGGATTTATACTTTTACTAGATCCTGCCAAATTGCTCTCACTCCCTCAAACTACTGTTACTGTTTTATCAGTGTGTTAGAATGTCTACTACTATTTCAATCCTTAATCAAGTTAATGAATTTTTCATACTTCTATAGAATATTTTGGGTTTTCTTTCTTAGTGGTCTTGAAGAATATATATTATTAATCACATAATCTCGACATATACACACATAATCACCTTGTTGTGAAGTACCACTGAGCTGGTTCCAACTCATAGCAACTCTATGCAAAAAAAGATAAAACACGACCTAATCTGATCACCTCCCCCATAACCCAACACCTACCCACCTTCTAGTTTTTTCAATTAGTTGGTTTTTATTTTACTTTATGGAATTATTTGCCAGATAGATGTTAGAAATCTATTTAACAGCATGACTAAAAAAATCCCTTGCTAAATTATTAATTACATGTTATGATTAGCATGTTTTACCACTCCCAAATTATATTATTGTTATTATGTGCCACTGCCTCACAGGGTTGTTTTGTTCTGTTGTTGATCTAAAGGTTGTTGGTTTTTCCCTTTTTTTTTGAAAGCTATAACAATATGTATTTAAAATTTAGAGACATTTAAACTGTAGTTAGGAATAATTGCTGTAGAAATATATAATCATACTTATGTTTTTCTTGGATCATATACATTTATGCATAAAAATATATGAGTAGAAACCACAGTGGTTTCCAAACAGTGCCTTCCAAGAAAATTTCTGGCTTCTTAACAAGAATAATAAAATATTTTTCCTCATTCCTGAGTTACTGCAATTTCTTTGATAGTATGCATTTGAGGGACTGATATTCTGATGTCAGGATTAATTCAACTTTTTCTTTAGTCCGGTAGGAAATTACTGTTGCTATGTTGTTATGTACCATAGAATCACAACTGACACATAGCTGCCCTCCTGTAGGTTTTCAAAGGCAGAAAATCCCACAGGAAGAGACTAGTGATCTTTATTCCACAAAAGAGCTCATGGATTCAAACCTTGAAACTCTTGGTTGGTAGTGCAACGCCTTACTACTAAGCATCAGAGCTTCCTCCAATATTAAATGTCTAGCAGTCCATATCCATCTCTCTGTCTTTCTCTCACTTCCTCCCTCACTCCTTTTCTCCCTCCCTTCTTCTCTCTTTCTCTTTCCCCTTCTTGATGAGGTAGAGGTTTTATTTTTTTAATTACAATGTCTAATCAAACTTTTATTGCATATTGTCTTACTCTTAACTTATATATTTATTAATTTTTTGTTCTTTTTTCATCACAGGGTATATTAAGCTATAATCTTTACTGAAGCTGACTGTCAGATCTTTAACCAACAAGGTTGATTTTAAACTGACAACCTTTTGGTTAACAGCCAAATATTTAAGCATTGTGCCAACGGGACTTCTTTATATGTGTACTCTATACAACTTTTCTTCTTATACTTCTAGAGTTTCTTTAACTTTTAAAATAAATTATTCCTTGGGGGGGGAAAGAACCCTCATTTTAATTTTTTGCCACACTTAAAGTGTTTTCATATTAAAAACTAGTAGTGCCAATAATTTATTGAACAATCCACCTAAAACTAAAGTTTTCTTAATATATATATGTGTGTGTGTGTGTGTGTGTGTATATATATATAGTTATTTTGTTGTTGTTATGTGCCGTCAAGTCGCTTGCGACTCATAGCGATCCTATGTACAACAGCCCTAAACTCCGCTCCGTCCTGTGCCAATCGCACTGTCTCTGACACTCCCATTCCAATTATGCCAGTCACTGAATCAATCCACCTCATAGAGGGCCTTCCTCTCCTGTGCTGTCCCTCCACCCTCCCAAGCATGATGTCCCTCTGCAAGGACCAGTCCCTCCTTAAAACATGTCCAAAGTATGTCAGACGAAGCCTCAGAATCCTTGCCTTCTAGGAGCAGCCTAGTTTAACCCTCTTAAGGCTGAATCTGTTTGTTTTCTTAGCAGTCCATGGTACAATAAATACTCTTCTCCAGCACCACAGCTCAAAGGCATCAATTCTCCTTCTATCCTCCCTAGTCATTGTCCAACTCTCTAATGCATAACAAGTGATTGCAAAGACCATGGCCTGTATCAAACGTACCTTAGTGTCCAGAGAGACACCATTGCTCTTCAGTACTATGGAGAGGTCCCTAACAGTAGACTTTCCCATCACACTATATCTTTTAATTTCCTTGCTGCTGGTGCCAAGACTGTTGACTGTGGAGCCAAGCAAACTAAAGCTGTGAACAATCTCAATCGCTTCACCATCCATCCTACCAATTGGTCCAGTGGTGAGAATTTCTGTCTTCTTGATATTGAGCCTCAATCCATACTGAATAAAGGCTGCAGTCCTTGACCTTCTGTAGCAAGCGTTTCAGGTCCTCTTCAGTTTCAGCAAGCAGGGTTGTGTCATCTGCATAGCGCACATTGTTGATAGATCTTCCACCAATCCTGACGCCACAGTTCTCCTCATAGAGTACAACCTCTTGGATAATCTGTTCTGCATACAGCCTGAAAAGGTATGGAGATAGGACACATCCCTGGCGTACACCTTTCCCAATTTTGAACCACACAGTGTTCCCTTGCTTTGTTCTGACAGTTGCTTCTTGGTCCAAGCATAGGCTTCACATTAGCACATTCAAGTGTTCTGGGATTCCCATTCTTCTCAGAGTCAGCCACAGTCTGTTATGATCCACGCAGTCAAATGCCTTTGCATAATCAATGAAACACAGATAGAC